TTCCTGGGGCAGGGTTTTTACCAATCCTCAGTTGATCTTGTGACTTTTGCAGCTTGTGGGACTTATCCCCTCCCCCCCCCAAGGAAAGCATAAGTAACTAAGGCAAAGGTGCTGCAGTGTGGGAGCATGTGCTTTGCACCCCGTCAATTTGTTGACATATCTGTTTATGTGACTAAATTGAAGAGGGCTGTGTTTCCATGAATACATGAATCAATTGAGGAATGTTACATCTGTGTAGTTTGCCAATGTAATCAGATGGAGGCTATGGCAGTGGCCTGTATGATGATTTCCAGTAGCCCCGCCCCCTGATAGCCCCACTGTGTGTATTCCCTCTGATAGCCCCACTGTGTGTATTCTCCCCATAGCTCCACTCTGTGTATTCTCCCCATAACCCCACTGTGTGTATTCTCCCCATAGCCCCACTCTGTGTATTCTCCCCATACCCCACTGTGTGTATTCCCTCCCCTAGCATGTGTATAGACTCTAGAGGAGTTTTTCCTTATTTATTTTTTATTGCTTTATAAATAATACCATTCAAAATTTTCACTTCCTCCCCTCCTCCCTATTTCTCCCACTCCCCCAGTCGCTCTCCCCCCACTCCCCTCCAGTGCAGTTTTTTCTTTTTGAGTAGGGTTTGTCTATATTTTTAGGTTGGCTTCGAACTCACAGAGATTTGTCTGTCTCTGCCTCCCGAGTGCTGGGATCAAAGGCATGCGCCACCGCTGCCCGGCCTAGAGCAGTGGTTCTCATTCTCCCTAATACTTGGACCCTTTAATACAGCTCCTCATGTTGTGGTGACCCCCATCCCATCACCAGGAAATTATTTTCATTGCTATTCCATAACTGTAATTGTGTTGCTCTTCTGAATTTGTAATGTAAATATCTGTGTTTTCACAGATGGCAGTTGGGGGTCGCAACCCTCAGGTTGAGAACTACTGATCTAGAGACTCCTTTGATAGGTAGAATATGGCAGAAATTACAGGATGTCCTGAGATTGGAAAGTGAATTCCAACATGGCCCTCCTGCCTTCCCATCCTCTTCCCCTCCCTTCTCTCTCCCCACTTCTCTCTTTTTCTTTAACTGGCTTGTGAGGAAACCGGAGGCCTCTTGGACAGCTTACAGATAGGCTCTCCTGCCAGCAACCTCTTGAGTGATCCTGAAGGCACATTCTGCAGCTCTGGGCAAGGGTTAATATGGCTGCACCTATGTCCTACAGCTCTCTCAGAGACCCGGAGCCAGGGCACCTGGCTAAGTCTTACCCAGATTCCTGACTCCCGCCATCAGGAAGACAATAAGGGCTTTTTGGTATTTGGGGGTAATTCATTATCCAGTGATAAATTCATTAATGCAACAGTTTTGGTAATTGTATAGCTAAAGTGAGTTTAGAAGCTAAAATTTCACATCATTTGTTGAAAGAGTCATAGAAAAATCACAGAACTGAAACTCTCCTTCTCTCTTTGAGAAGATCCAGCTATAATTAGAGTTTAAACAGGACATTGTAGAAATCTCTCATAGGGATTAACACTAATTAGAAGCAATAGGCCTTTTGTAGAGTTTAGCTGTTGTCTTACAATAAACATTCATTTTGTGATAACATACTTTTAAAATGAGGTGTGTGCGTGCGTGCGCATGTGTGTGTGTGTGTGTGTGTGTGTGTGTGTGTGAACAGTTTAAGCTAACATTTGACCAGATTTTCATTATTGGTTGAGGGAAAGAGAAACAGGAGTATTTAGATACACCTCAGAAATGGGTTATAGGGCCAATGACGTGGTTCAGGGAGTAAAGGCTCTTGCTACCAAAACCGAGGACTTGAGTACAATCCCCAGAACCCACATGATGGAAGGAGAGAGTGACTTCATAACATTGTTCTCTGATTTCCATACACATGCCTTGACACACATGTACACACACACAGACACACAGCATACAGGCACACATACATACTAAATAAAAATAGCTTATACACTAAACTTAATAAGACTTTTCTTTGCCCTTAGCATATATGTGTGTGTGTGTGCATATACACATGCACTTTAAACAATTAAAATATGGTTTGGTCAAAGAATAAATAAACAATATTTTAGAAATATGGTTCACTGGTACCGTGCTGGGAGACTGAGCCCAGGGCCTTGCACACACTATGCGTGCATTGTACTAGTGAGTTGCATCCTTGGCCCAGCAACAAAACAACTGGACATTACTCTGAGTCCCCCTATATGGGTGAAACATCTCAGTACAGCTCTAACGTTTAAAGATCTGACAGGCAATTATTCTAAAAAACATGGTGCAGACACTTTGGGTTTTTCTAGAAATTGAAATGTATACCTGCCCGTTTCCTTAATGGCAACCAAGCATTTCTTGCTATCATTACAAACATGGTGAACACTATGCTATGGGGTTTTAGAAATCATGGTACCTTAAAAATGAACTGAGCACTACTGCAATAAAGAATGAAAACATTCTTTCGGAGTGGTGTATCACTCAGGCTCTAGGGCTTGGCGGTGTGACTCAATAGTTAGGCTAGCTTTGTGCTCTTCCAGGGCCATATCTCAGTCCTTATTACTGACTAAAGGCATTGCTGGATGATATTGTGTTGTCAAGCATGTAAGGTATGATTACCAATCAGCAGTTCTTTGCGTGCATGTTTTTCTTTTTGAATTTTTGAATATTTGAGAATTTTATGCATGTGTATGATACGTTTTTAAATAAAAGCTACTCCTCCTGCCTCCTCCCAGTGTCTCCCATACCTCCTCAGAACTTTTCACTTCAAACTCATAGACTATTTTTTTTTTAACCCATGAGTCCATTTAGGGATGCCAGTAAGTGTGCGGGTAGGGCCATCCACTGGAGCAGGGGGGGACGTTGCACATCATAACCCACACAGCAGCTGGGGCTGCGTCTATCAGACAAGATCAAGACAGCTAAAACTCCAGCAGGAAGCAGGGTGGGCCTCACCAAGCCCCACCCATAGCTGCTGGGAAGGGAGAGGCAGGTCTCTTTGCACGTTTCTTTTTTGGCATTCTCTTTACCTAAAATGGCCATCTCCTTCATATTAATTCAACAAAGCGAACTTTCATGTAAGATCCTCCTCAGTGGTCTTCAATTTCATGAATTGCAGGCTTACTCTATCTTGGTTTTTATCTGTTGCCCTGGTGACTGATCTGGCTTTCTTCTCAATCTTTCCACACATCATTCTGTGGTCACTTCTGTCATCTTTGACCTCTCTCTCTCTCCCTCCCTCCCTCCCTCCCAATTTCATCGTTTCTTATCATCATCGGCCCCTTTGCCCTGCCTCCACTATATTGGAACAGACTACTGGCCCTTTCTCCAATGACCGCAGCTCTGGTCCTCATATCTTTGTGCAGATCCATCCTCTGGCCTTGAATAGCCTTTGAAGCCTCCAACTCTGCAGGCATCTTTCCGTGCCTCTATCACATGAGATTGAGTTCCCAAGACCTAATGTAGTGATTGACATATCAGATAACTGCAGTAAACATTTGTTGCATCCATATCTTGCTTCCAGGGATTGCTACCTGGCACTTTATCAGAAAGGACTAGAGATACTGAGATGAATCTGGTTCTTTAACGACCATAGTTGAATCTTTTCCCTTGATGATTTCCTTTCAAGTACTTACTTGTCTGCTAAAGCATTTCACCTTCATTAATGAGAAAAATTGTGCTAAAACATTGTGTCCTTTTTAGTTCAAGATTTATTTTAATATATTTAATTATGTGTAGATGTGTGTGTGTGTGCATGAGGGTAGGCATGTGTGTGTCGGTGCCAACAGAGCTAGACAATTTGGATCTCCTGGAACTCAAGTTATAAATGGTCATGAATTGCCTGATATGGGAGCTGGGAACTGAACTTGGATCTTCTGGAAAAGCAGCAAGTGGTTTAAACACCAAGCCATCTCTCCTAAACATTAGTTTCCTCTTTAAACAGCAATTTTTATTGACAAATAAGAACTTTATGCTTATGATGTCCAGCATGATGTTTTTTAAGAGTCTGATTCTTACTAGGAACTGCTTTCTTAATCATGCATGCCTCAACTTCCTTACCCCGTGTGTGTGCGAGAGATAGTCTCACTATGTAGATCATATTAGTGTGAACTTGTAGCCATCCTCCTGCCTCTGCCAAGTCGAGTTTTCTTATTTTTTAAAAAGGGTGTGTGTGATAAGAGCTCTTCTTTTTTAAGGTTGTGGTGAGGGTTAAATGAGATGTTTCTACTATCTGGAATATTTTCTCCCCAGATTTTCCCTGCCTTCCCATCTAAGTCATAGTTCAAAGGGCAGGACCTCAGAGGCCTGGTCCCTCCCCAGTTTCCCATGTCACCGTCTTTGAAGTTCTTCATAGCATTTGTCACTATCTGAATTTATCTTTATTTACTTATTTGCTTACTAGCTACGTGACCTCAATTTCAGAGTCCCTTTCTTCTTGCTACTATTTCCTTGGTATCCAGAGCCTGGTCTGCATGTAACTTCACTGCATAATAAATAGTTAAGTTATTCACTTCCTCTTGTTGCTCCAAGCCTTTGAGAAAGCTAACGGACAGCCACACTTTGGGGCTGCTTTCTGACAGTTTATATGTTGGGGATGGGAGGGCTTTTTTTTTTTTTTTATCAAAGTACTGGAAAGCTGATGATGCAGCTCAGCCTTGGGAACCTAGCCTGGGACCATTGGAACGTGACTTGTCTGCTTCCCAGAATCACTGGAGACTTGAAGATAGCCAGCTTATCCGTTCTGTACATAAAAAGTGGTAGAGCTGGAGATCAAACGAGGCAGACTTAGCGCTAAGCTCGTTGGTGGTAAACAGAAGACGGGAAGTGGAGCTAGAGGGGAAGAGATTCTCCTGGGAAAGGCTTTGGAGAGGAACCTGAAGGGGTGGGAAATCATCCTAGAGAGAAAAACCAAGGCACTGATGGCGGCAAACCATGTACATTAACTCCTGGCCCACAGATAAAGTGAGATATGTGTTTACGAAGCAAAACCATCCAACTGATACTTTTGTGCCATCAGAATTTTATTATTTTTTTAAAAGATACAAAAATAGTAAAAATAAAAAAGGAAGGCATAATCAGCTATATATCAATCGGCCCTTCACCAAATTCTTCTTAAAAAGCCATAATGGCATTTATCTGACTGGCAGTAGAAAATGCTATATCCTAATTCTAGGAACAGGTCTTTCAGAAACCTCCAAATCTGGGCACTACATGGGTTTTCTCATGCCATTTGAGTGAACACGCGAGTCCCAGAAGTAGTCAGTGGTGTTAGACGACTACACAAGATGGGCCTCCGAAGACTCTGTCCCTGACGTGGGCCTTACATGCTCTTCTGCTGGAAGACAGAAGGTGGACAGCTGCAGTTAACTTGCGGGCTCGGCTCTGGCAAGCTGAACACGTGGTAGGACGTCTCATTCTTCGGGGTCGCGGCGTTGTTATTGTTTCCAGCTTTCGTGGAGTAGGGCTTGGTGAGCCACGGGGATCGTCGAGGGGCAGCACACGACACAGGGATCACATATCTAGATGATGAGGTCTTGGAAGCATAGTGAATCTCCGAGCTGTAGATAACCACATCTGGAGAAACGGCCTTGACGCGGATGCCACATTCCGTCACGCGGTAGGTAAACTCGTAGAAGTGGGGGTGAACTTGGTTGGGAGGACATCCCAGGCCCAAATGCACCTCATAAAAGTGGACGAACACATCATTATTCAGCAAGAAGGGGTGGACTGTGACCATGAACCAATCGGTCGAGCACAGCACATCCACCTGATTTTGCTCCGAGAAGCTGCAGAACGTGGAGAAGAAGACCATCGTTGCAAGGAACTTGAAGAGCTTCATTGTTGCCGTTGGTTGGGTAGCAACTCACAGGAGGCAAGAACGCGTCAGAGAAGGAATTCTAAAACACATAAAAATACAAGAGGCAGGTTACCTTATGTCTTACGCAAAGTTCCAGGATGCGTTTTTTGAAGAAGAACCCAGAGATGAGGGGAACTTCTATATAAGGCAGAAATGAATTTGTGGTAGCTTGCATGGTAAAGATAGCTAACATGGCGCCTTGGGAGTTTATTTATTCGGTGGCACTTTGGGTGAAATCCAGGCCCTCTTGCATGCAAGGCCAGTGTTCCAGCTTTGAGATACACGGGCCTGGGATGGCAATGGATTCTCTAAGGGGCTTTCTCATGCTTTTCTGGTCCGAAGCACACATCCCTCCCTCTCATGCAGCATGAGAGCCCGCACGGATCAGGATAATGGTCCCATTTTGTGGACATTGGCATAAAACCCAAACAGTTTTCATGTTAAACACAAAATCAAGGCATAGGAAATAGAGTTTAATTCAAACGAGCAGCCTAGTCTGCCTTAATGGCTGTGATGTCCTCATATATATTATCCCAACGAGCCCTTCCTTATGACCTTTTTTCTTAGCAAACAAATTGAATTTTAAAATAGAAGTAGAAGCTTGCAGGCAAGCCTGATGACCTGAGTTCAATCTCTAGAACTCACATGGTGGAAGAACAGACTCCTGAGAGGTGTCCGCTGCCCTCTCTGCCCTCCAGACACTTGCTGTGGCAAGCACATACCTCCCCAAAGTCGAATATAACAAATTCTTCAAAAATCAAGGAGAAATTGCATTTTATTCCTGACAACCACACATTGAAATTGGATGAATGGCTCAATTAAATACAACCAAAAGAATTCATCTGGTACTCCATCAGTAGCATTGTAACTCAAGATGAGCGAAAAATTCTCTGATATAGTGGGGCATTTTGTTAAAGAAATTTCGGGAACAACGAGAGAGGGAGAGGGAGGAAGTATGGAAGGAAAAGAAAGAAAAAAACAGTTGGAGGTACAAAGTGAGACTTTCTCAAAACTGAAAAATAAAACCAAAAGCAAATAAAAACAAAATTCTGAGCCTTTTGTGGTGGCTTACACTGAAATCCTAACAATTCTGTAGTAGAAGCAGGAGAATTGTCACAAGTCCAAGGCCAGCTTATACTACAGAGTAAGACCCCTTCTCAAAAAAATACATCCAATCATGGGGCTCTTAATTTTACATTTTAAATGCATATTGCATAAAACTACTTAAAAGAAGTGCTGTATTTAAAAGGAATCATTTTGTTTATGCTGTATGTGTAGACTCATCAACTAGCTCCTAAACTCTTTGTTTTGGATTCATTTGTGCTTGCTAGCTTTTGTGTTCTTTTTGTCTTTTGCCCTGAAAAGAGTAGTAGACACGGTGGCGGGGGGAAAGGGACAAAGCTAAGAAGAACTGTCTGAGGCAAGGCAGCAGAGGGAGGCAACAAGGGGAGAAAGAAGTACACCATCAAATATCATCCATCCAGCTTTCGCTTTAAATGTGGAAAACCACATAAATCAAACAGAAAGTGCCTAAAAATTGGAAGGAAGTGCATGTGCATAAGTGTAGGGATTAACTTTTGTTCCCTGCTAAGTATTCCCCATATAGATGATTTCATCCTTTGACTAATATTTATTGAGTGTCTACTATACTCATGGCATCAGGCTAAAAAGCCGCCCCCCCCAGGACATTCCCTTTTCCCATCTGTAAATAGGCAGCTCTTTCTCTGCCTTTGCTCTTGACAGATGTGGAGAATTCTTGAGTGGAAAACGTGGCATGGAGGCCCACTAGAAGAGTGTACTCTCCTGGATGAGGTGCTTTGTTTCTGATGGGGACCGCTTGCTTGCTTGCTTGCACTGTGTTGCCTCTCTTCCTAATGACTCTTCATTCTCTCTGTAGTGCCGGGGGGGGGGGTGTAGTGTTGGGAGGGGGTAAAAAGAAACCAAAGGTGACTTCTCTGTGCTTTTTCTTTATTCTGAAGCGTCGTTGCTGAGGCTGGCTGAGTTTTCCCGTAAAGCAACAATAGAGACAGCAGCAGCAGCAGCAAGAACAAGACCACACACACACACACACACACACACACACACACAGAAAGAGAGAGAATTATCCCACTACTGTCACCTTAATATCTGTGCCTAAAGAAACCACCCTGTCCTAAGCATGCTTTAGAAATGGCTTTCTCTCTCTCACCCCTCCCTTCCTTTCGTTCTCCTTTTCCCTCTCCCTTGCATCCCTCCCCTTTCCTTACCATGATCTCACAACCTGGGACCATCTGCCTTGAACAAAACCCTTCCCCATAAGCAGCCTCTGGAATAGGCCAAGGAAACAATTCTTTCATCCCATTTTTGTTCTCAGGCTCCAAAGTGAGGCTCCAGCTGAAGGCCGTTCTGGTCCAGGAGTTAAGCTTTCCATTTCCTCTCCCAAGCATCCTTCATGTAGCCCCCCTCTCCCTTTCTCTCATGAATAATCCAAATAAAGTTACCAAATGCCTATATTCTCCAAGAAGCAAGACCATTGGTCCCCGGGCAATCATTTCAGACTATCTTCTTGCTCCATGCCCACTTTTCAAGTTCCACTGCTCTCATTGAGTCTGAAAGAGGGGCTTTGGTGACTGCGCTGTTTCCGTAATCATTTAGTACAAATCTCCAAACTGGGGCAAGATAGAAGCTGCTTCCTCCAGTTTCCTTTGAGCCAGCAGCAACAGATTGCCACGTAACAGGGGCAATAAATGAAGATGCCTATATGTATGACAACACACCTCCGGACACAGAAAAGACTTTAATAAAAGGCAGGGCAAACTGTGCTCGAGGTCCCATAGCCCTGGGGGAGAAGCGAAAGGCTAGAGATTAAGAGGAAAGCAGAATGTACTTAATAACGAACTTGCTAAGTCAGAGCCCAGTACTTCAAAGCTGTACTTTAGGCCTGGCTCCCTTTTGCTGAAGGCACATCATAAAACACAGAACAGCCTCCTCTCCCTAGCTGTCTGCTCTTTGCAGGGACAGTGAGAAGGATGTGCGTATGTACACCCACACGGCAGTCATTTGTGACGGGAATGGCTGTAAGTCACTCGCTGCCCTGTGTGACCTTCCTAACACCTAGCTGAGATGGGCCAGCAGCATAGGATCTAAAGAAGGGATGGGGGAAGACTTGGGTTGCAGGGGCCGAAGGCAGCTGAACGGCTAAGAAGGGAAGTGGGAGACTATAGAGTAGGTGCCAGGCTGAAGGTATTTCCAGCTCTAGTTGGAACTGTACCCAGCAGCTCAGGAGCTCTGGAATGCAAACAGAATTGCAGCTAAACTCTCCAGAAATCTTCAGCGCTGAGGGGCAGTTAGAGACCGAGGAGGAGGGAAACACAAAGACAGCACGGCTCACCTTGTGACTACTGTCCGCTTCTGGCAGGTGGGCTTAGAAAACAGGTTTTAGAGTATGGATTACAGGAGCCCCATTTGGCCTTGACGGCAAATTTTCTCTGCGGTGAGCTGAGATTCATTGGTTTAACCAAACAGGGCTCAACTATGGAACATACCGCCCTGAACCCAGCTATAGAGCAGCCAGGCAAACTCTTCTAACACCTGGATGCAAAATGTTTGTTTCCCTTGCAGTGACCGAGTACAAGGAGCTTTCTGTTTTCTTAAATGTGGCGTATGTGTATACATTTCCCAGCAGTTCCTTCAGCAAACATTTCCCTTCGCTCCCCTTCCTCTCCCGAAGGTCTCCCATATTTGCACTAATCATGGATGGGTCCTTTACAGCGAAAATTCATGCGATCAGTGCTAGGGACATGGCTCAGTGGGTGAGTTGCTTGCATGGCAAACATGAGGACCAGCTCTCCAGGAGGGAGATCAAAACAGCAGTATGCTGCCTGTAATCCTCGGGAAGGCGGTGGTGCAGCCAGGCAATCCATGGGGCAGGCTGAATAGCCAGGCTAGACTATAAATGGCAACCTTTAGGTGCGGAGAGAGACTACAAATGTGTGTCGCCTTGTCAAGCTTCCGACAGGGAATGGCTGAAAAGGCTACTTATGCAGCTCGGCACTGCCATGTTTAAAGTGGCGAAAGGCAATTCGAATAACAGAATGGATCCAGCCGTCCCTCGCTATCTATGGAAGGCTGGCTCCAGAAGCTCGGGGTAATACCCAAATCTGCAGATGCTCAGCTTTCTTATACAAGCAGCATACAACCTAGCCCCATCCTCCAGGACACTTTAGCTCACGTCTAGCTTACTTAGAATACCTGGTACCATGTAAGTGCTATGGAAATAGTTGTATTCCTCTTCAGGGAATAATGGCAAAAAGTCTATATATATGCAGTACAGCGCCAATTATTTTTCTCTAATATTATCAAGCTGCAAATGTGCCCATGGAGTGAAAAGGGCATCTTTATATTGTTGAAATAATTTATGGGGAACAATGTGATATTATAATATAGTTGGCTCAAATTATTTATTATATCCATCACTTTCTAGTCTTCAGAAACAGTGGTTCTCAACCTGTGTGTCAAGACCCCTTTGGGGATCGAATGGCCCTTTCATAGGGGGCCACCTAAGACCATCTGCATAACAGATATTTACAGTAGAATTCATAACAGTAGCAAATTACAGTTCTGAAGTAGCAATAAAAATAATTGTATGGTTGGGGGTCAGCACAACATGAGGAACTGTATTAAAGGGTCGCAGCCTTGGGAAGGTTGAGAACCACTGCTCTGAAAGTTAAAAATAGAACCCGGGGTGAGCAGGAAAGATGAGGCAGTGGTTAAAGGCAACAGAGCTTCATTGAGACTGGAATAATCTGTTTGTTGGTTGGTTTTACAAGCATAGGGTGTGTGTGTGACTTTCTGTGTGCATGTGGAGCCCAGAGGTAGACTTCAGCTGTATTTAGCTCTACTGTGCTCTGCTTTCTTTAGAAAATGCTAAGAGCAAATCTTAATTTTTCTTACCATCAATCTATGTCTTTGAATATTGGTCAAAACATAGGGCCTTTGAAATTTCAGGCTGCTTTTTTTTTTTTTTTTTTTTTTTGATAGGGCTCCACTATGTAGGCCTGT